AAATCTTATTTAATCGATAAGAAAATTTTTTTAACGTGTTCTGTAGTTATTATTATTTATTTCAATATGCTTTTTATCCATAATTTTTTTCGTTTAAATTATGAAAATCACGTATTAATCGAAATCATGATTTTTAGGCGAGAGTAGAGCATACCTGCGCGCTTCGCGCTTAAGGCATGCAATTGAATTTTTAGAATTAAAAAATGGTAAACTGACTAGCGCGAGGATTGGATAAAAAAAAGTAAGTTACATAAGAAAAGTAATGCTTAATTTGAACTATTTTTTTTTATTCCATGAATCTTATAAAAACTTTTACATTTTTATTGATATAATAAACATATTTTATAATATTTTTATATAAAAGCAAAAAAAGGAGATGATTTTTTTTTTTATTTTAATTTTAACTTATATAGTGGACAATATTTATTTATTTATTTACATTGATCTATTTTTTAAGTAATCAAAAGTTGAAATTTTTACAAAAGATATTATATTATTTTAATCTTTTTTTTTTTTTTTTATTTTAGTGCTTCCAAATATCACATAACAACTCGAACATTAACTTCGACTTTAAGAAAAAAACCTTTTCAAAATTACTCGAGCTTACTACATCGCTCTTATGGGTAACGACGAAATTGAATGCATTTGTGCGTAAGTCAGCTGCATTGTATTTATTAGCTAATTGCAATATATCCAAGGCATTGTCAGATGACAAATAGATCGTCAGCGCACACTCACAAATTTTCTTTAGCCCATGAATTTTATATAAGTTTGCGACTTCAAGTATCTTCAAGGCGAAGGCAATATCTTTCACAGCGTTTGTTTCGCCTTTGTAACAATAACGGAGAATGTCCAAAAATACTTCGAAATCAACATTTTCTTCTATAACGATTTGGTTACGTTTTTTATAAACATCAGACTTCATGAGCTCAACAAATGTTGAAAGTGACGTTATCCAAATTAGGGATCGTAAAATTTTCAGAATACGATTTGCTGAAAAGCGGACAAATCTTTGTCGGCCAGACAAATTTTCCATAATACGAAAACATCTCCTCGATGTTGTGAAGAATTGAAACTTCTGTAACAAAAGTAATTGAATATATTACTTTAGGGAGTATGCTTATAATGAAAAATTAAATTATTGGTTAATCATTAATTGATAAATCGAAGTACGTGGAAAAAACAATAGTTAATACATAAACTTAAACTCTAAAATGATTTTTCCAGAATTGCACGATTTTCATTTTATATAATGACTAAATTAATTGATTGTTCAAGTAATTATATCAGCAAAATTTTAATAGAAACACGAATTTTGTTTTTATCATTTGTATAAAAGATAATTGTTTAAAGAAAAAAAAAATAGAAATATCCCTTGTAAGATAAATATTTTAAACATTATTTTAAATCATCCAGAAGATTCAAATGTCAGCTTATTTTTTAATTACACTTTAATTATCAATTTAATCAAAAAAATACGCACTTAAAATCGATTTGAAATACACTCAGATCCACAAAATTGTTTCTGTAGGGCTAAAGTCGATTCCAATGCCTGCATTTGGTCGCAATTCAAAATACACCATTGCCTTAAATAAAGTAAATATTATATATTATATATTTGTTAACTCTAAAACAATTTTTTCACAAATATACTGTTGGATTTACTCATTTAGTATCATTTAATAGAAATAAGTACGTCCTTAACCTCAAATGATATAATGATACTGAAGTTATCTGACAGCTAACAATTTTTAAAGTCCATATACAAAATAAATTTTTTTTTTTAATTTTGATTGGAGGATTGGGAAAAAAAAGTAATTTTTATTGTTAAAGTAATTTTATAAAATAATCTTTTTTATTCTATGAATCTTATAGAAATACAAAATATTTATTATTTTAATTTATACTAATAAATCTTAAAATTTTTCTTCTTCATATTAATTTTTAGGTGAAATAAAAATAATTATAGAATAACTTGAGTGCAAACTTATATAAAAAAATGAATTTTAATAACCCTGATTAAAAAATCTAATTTGAAATGATTTAAATGCATCGGATTTGAATACTATATAGATATACAATCAACATGAAGGTAATAATTTTAAATCATCTTTCTGAATCAGGAAAAATTGTCATTTTACTCATCGCCGAAAGCTCGAATAATTTCAAACATCAGTTCGTGTTTTCTATAAAACAGCTCTTCGAATTCATCTGAAGCAAATACTTTTTTATGACAAACTATGTACTCAATTGCTTTACGGCGTAAATCAACTGCGTTATGATCATCAGCTACGTCAATTATGTTAATAACATTATCAGTAGATATTTTTTTTATCAACATAAGCTCACAAATATCCTTGAGCTTGATAATTTGATAGATATCAGCGACTTTAAGCATTTGCAAAGCTATTTGGACATCATTCGTCTTCTTCAAAATTCCCTTGTAACAATAATGCAGCATTTCAAGAATTATTTCTGGATCTAGATCTTTAATATTTATTTCACCGTCTTTAGCTTCTTTCATTCCAGATTGCAGCATTTTTGAGAATACTTCGCTGTGAGCAGCTAAAATAATTTTATGTGCTGGAATTTTGATATTGTCAACAATAATTGTAACATCACTGAGTTCTTCTGAGTTGTAGAATTTCTGGACCTCATTATAAAGATTGTTGTTATCAAGACGACTTTTTACAATGTCTTTCCAATGGATTTCACACGTAATTTTGAACTTATAAATCTTGTGATAAGTCCTTTCAATATTATCCGGTTGGTTTACTCTTTCAACAATTGCCTTTTGTGGGATGCTCACATCTTTAAAGTAACATGAAGATTTATAAAACTGAGATTTATTTATTGAAACGTCTCCGACCATCACCTTAACTAAAGCGTTTGCTGGTTCTGAATTTGATTTTTGGACCCATAAATCAAAAGTTGGGTCTAATGATGAACTACCTAGTTCCAATTTCATACTAAAAATAACGTTGCTGACATTATCAATCTTGAAGTGATCTGAATGATAAAATTTGGCGATCAACTCACAAAGTTTGACAGGCCAAGTCACTTTTACGTAGTTGTCTTTTTTCTCCGTCATAAAGCTCATTGTGGTTAATATACTGGTTATTTCTGTAAAAAAAAAATTTTTTAATTTTGTAATGAATTGAATGAAAAATTTCTGGACTCTATCATTGATTAATTTTTATAACAAATCAATTATAATATAAAAAAAAAAAAGAGTTAAAAAAATTTCCACTAATAATTTTTTTTAATTTTCATCTATAGAGTTTTTTTTATTAAATTTTTGTCATAATAAAAAATGTATTAAAAAAAAAATAATAAGAAATATTCTACTAGAAAATTTGAAAAATTATAAGTGAACCTTGAATAAAAAAAAAGTATTGAAACAAAGAATAAAGTATTGAATTAATTAGAAAATCAATACTTTTTTTTTAATCAGGAAAATAAAAAAAAAAAATTTAGTTAACTAATTCTAAATAGAATTTAAATGGTAAAAATTTTTTAACCTTTGCTGATTTCGATATTATAATACAATTTACTTGAATGAAATTAATTCATGAGTTAGTAAGTGCGCACTTAAATAATGTTTGGGTTTGCTGTTACAGAGAAAAATCAAAGTATAAAATTATTAACTATTACTTGATAAATTCAAATTAATTTAAAAATGAAATATTTAATTCTTTTTATCTAAATTAATATTTACAATTTTTTATAAACTAATTCTTACGTTTTCTGATGAAACACTATCAATTTCGACTGAAAAAATTCAACAAGTTACAACTTATGACGCTTCGATCGATAAATAGTTGAGTAATAGTAATGGTAGTATTCTTTATTATAGGCTTTGGGCATTTTTCCATTTGACCGTTGTACAAACGGTTAAATATACTCAAAAGTTCTCGAAATATCCCCTGAAACTATGGAGGGTAGAAGTACTTCTACTCTCTATGGTAGTTTTCCAACTACAGCACTAGAGCGCATAATGCGGCATTGTGCGCAGCTTAGAGTGTTCCAATAACAGCAACGCTTCGCACAGTTGGACACTCAAAAAACCTTTGCTCAGGGATGTTATGCGTGAGAGTTACCAACGAGTCTACATAAAATTAAAAGTATTTTTTTTTTTTTGTATTGAGTTGGTATAATTAATGTTTATCTTATTATCTATCAAAGTTATTATTTTTGACAATTGTAAGTGTATTTTATTATTGTTGATAAATAATTATTATTGCAATAAAATTAAATATATACAATAACACAAATTATATTTAACTATCATATTTTTATATCTAATATTTAATTATTGATGACTAACTTAAGCGAATTTATATTCTTTCTATTCTTTTATCTTTATAAAATGAAATCATTTTTTATTTTTATATATTTGTAAGCATTGTCATGATATGATTTTGAATTAGCTGTTTAACATGAATGTTTTCAAAGATTTTAAAGATTTAAATATACAGGTAAACAAATATTTAGATTTTTAGATTGCCAAACTTTCGAATTTTTGTTCAAAACGAAGCAATACCAACGCGATCTACTGCTGCATTTCTTAACTAATCTGTTTCAATTATTAACTTGTGCTAATGCGGCACCGTGCGGTAATGAGTCGCACTGTGCTCTTGTAATTGGAAAACTACCTATACCTGAAACATTAAAAAGTAGAAAATTTTACCAACTTGAAAATAATGATATTGAAGTTGGCTGTCATACTTGACCATTTTTTTAAAATTTTATTGTACAAAATTTATTCCAAAAAATTATTTTTAAAAAAATGCATTTTTAATTTTTTTTAAATTTCTACATATCCATATTTTTTTTCTGATCTTTTTGCCATAGTTTATTTTTTATAAAAATGATTAAATATTATATATTAAATTAATTTCCATATAATTTTTATAATTTCTTTGTTAAATAAAATCCAAAAGGTAGTCAAATGTCAAAAATTGTTCTTGTTAAAAAAAAATTGTCAAAACTGTCAAATTTTATCATTTGTAATTAATAATGTTTTTAATCAGAGGCATTTTGATTAATAACTTGATTTTTCAATTGATTAATTAAATGTAGTTTTAAACAATTAAGTTTTTAGATTTCACTAAAAAAAAAAATCATTAAAATTCACATTTTATTTTTTTGACATTTTATGACGCGTACTTTCATTTTTATTTTTAATTACCAGAAACGAACCTTGTATTTATTTATTATTAAAAAATTTTTAAATTCATTTTTATTTTGTTAGAACATCTAACAAATAATTATTCATTTTTGCCATAAAAAAAAATTTGTATTTATAGATTTAATTTGTAAAATTTGCAAGAAAATATCAAATGAAATTTAAAGAAGTTCTGAAGTTATAATTTTGCAAAATTATTTTTAAAAAAATTTATTGTTTATTTTTTGTTTAGCTTATTGCAATTTGTAGAATTTTTTCCTTTTTTTATGACTATTAAAAGGATGACATTAAGCTTAAGTCACTTGACAATTATTTAATATTATTTAACAAAAAATTTTCTTCCAAAAAATTAGTTTTAAAAAATTGCATTTTTAATTTTTTACAATTTTTAAATGTCAATTTTTTTTCTAATTCATTTGCACTCATCTATTTCTTTAAAAAATTATTAAATATTTGATACTTTAATTTTCATAAAAATGAGCAATCATTAAATAATTTTTAAATTTTATTTATCAAGAAAATTTATTCCAAAAAATTATATTTAAAAAATTGCATTTTTTATTTTTTCAAATTTCTACATGTCAATTTTTTTTTTTTTAATTATTTTTGCTGTAATCTATTTCTATAAAATTTTTAAAATTATTAAATATATGCTAAATTAATTTTCATTTAAAAAGTTTAAGTTTTTAATTCAGAATTAATATTAAAAAAAAAAAAAAAAAAAAATCTGTCTGTAAATTTAAATTAGCGCGCTTTCAAAATGACCGCGCGCCTGCGCATTAAAAATCTGATAAACTATACTGTACACTGTACATCTGTATGCATATGTACATACTTTCATTCAGTAAAAAGTACAACAGTCATTCGCGCCAAAACGTAACGGCTTCTTGCAGACAAAATTGATATGCATATAAAATAATTCGGTAAAATATTTATTTACTCTTTTTGTTATTTGCATCAACTAATTAGAGCTTTTATTTCCTTATTAGTAAAGACGTTACTATGAAAACTGGAGGTTTAGTCGTAGCCGCCGTCGCTTCGGAAAATTTGGAGGTTAGTCTAATGTTTTTTGTGGATAAAATCACATTTTTTGTATAAAAAATATTTTTCAGTGTTATTTGTTTAAATTGTTTTTTTATTTTCAGCAAGACAAATCTAAAAAAGCATTGCAAACTCTTCAGCCAGCAGCCACGGACAAGGAAAATCTTGTTGGAGTAAGCCGACAATTGAGATCCAGTGGCCCGACTCCAGGTCCTGTCAAGAAGTAAGTTATTTTAATATTTATTTTTGATTTATTGAATTAAACTAGGATTTTTGTTTTTAGTTTTTAAAAATTCAGTTTTTTGACAAGCGGATGTTTATTACTTTTTTTAATTTCAATAGAAATTTTATTGAGAAAATTTAGTAAAAAGTGGGGAATAATTTATTAAAATTAATTTAGCAGGTATTTAGTAATTTTATAAATTTTTTTAACAAGTAAATGATGAGAAAAATAAAATTGACATGGAGAAATTTTAAAAAACTAAAAATGAAATTTTTTTTAAATAATTTTTTGGAACAAATATATAATTGAAATTGAAAATTTATTTTTAATCTAACAGATTAAAATTAAGATTGACAAAAAAGGTATTCTAAGAAATGTCAAAAAATCTTTTTAAATAAATTTAATCGGATTTAATAAATAATACCTTATAAGAGTAATAATCTATGTTTATTGTGATAAGTATTTAGGATGTATTTGAAAATTCTCTATCTCTAGATATATAATTGAGAAATTACCTAGTATCTTGTGAACTATAGACATTTTTAAAGATATAAGCTCATCCTGGCATAACACTCGTCGAGACCTTTCATTTGAGTACCCACATCAATTTTTCATATATTTTATATATTTATATATTTCACAAATACCATATATATAAAATATATAAAAAATGTCATGTGGGTACTTAAATGGAAGATCTCGATGAGTATAACATGGAAATGAGTTTATATCCTAACAAATGTCAATAATTAAAAAATAACATTGTATCTTATCAACTAATGATATTTTCAAAGATATAAGCTCATCCCGATGTTACACTCATCGATACCTTTCATTTGAGTACCCACATCAATTTTTCATATATTTTATATATTTCACAAATACTATGTATATATGAAAAATAAATCAAAATGCATGTGGGTACTCAAATAAAAGCTCTTGATGAGTATAACATCAGGATGAGCTTTATTTTATATATATAAAATATATAAAAAATGTCATGTGGGTACTTAAACGAAAGATCTCGATGAGTGTAACATCGAAATGAGTTTATACCTTGAAAAATGTCAATAATTAAGAAATGACATTGTATCTTGTTAACTAATGATATTTTTAAAGATATTAGCTCACTCTGACATTACACTCATCGAGACCTTTCATTTGAGTACCCACATCAATTTTTCATTTATTTATATATTTTATATATATATGTATATATGAAAAATATATCAAAAATTCATGTGGGTACTCAAATGAAAGGTCTTGATGAGTGTAACATCAGGATGAGCTTATATCTTTAAAAATGTCAATAGTTATGAAAGTACAGTGCAATTTAACAAAAATCATTTTTTAATAAAGCAAAATTTTATTTATGTATAGTTCACAAGTCACGGCAGTCACGTAGTGACTGCATGGTTCCTAGCAGTAATAATATTATTTATTATTATATTTCGTTCTGAAAAATTAAGAAATTTATTTTTCTAAAATAATAAAATTTAATAATTCTTTTAGTGAGATGTCAGAAAAAACTAAAAAAGAGGCTCCAAAAAAAGACAAGAAAATAAAAAAAATAATATTCAAAGATAAAGCATGCCAAACTGCCAGAGGGAATAAAATAAAAATAGAAGTTGAAGATTTGACATCTGAAGGTACTATAATTTTTAAATTAAAAATTTATTATAAATAACAATGCATAATAATAAATTAAATTTTCTCACAGCTGGTCCAAGTGAAGATTACTGGCAAGTGCTAGCAGAAAGAAGGCGCATTGCTCTCGATGATGCTTTAGAAGAAAACAAAGCGCTGACTCAGCGCGTTGCTAAACTTGAAGAGGAGAAGAAGATTTATAAAGAAATGCTTGACGAAACTCGAGCCCTCGTAGAAGTCCTTCAGGTAATTATAATTATATTTTATATTATTAAATTATTATTAATTAATAATAAGTATAATATATGTTAATTAAAATAATTTGTTACAGGAAATGATTGGAGAGGATCGTAGTGACATAAATAATTCCCTGGAAGATACACTATGATAAAATACTTAGTTTTTATTTATTTAAAAATCAATTTTATACAGGTATAATGAGTTATTGAACAATTGACTGATTTTAATTTATTATTAACTTTTGATACACTTGAGTAATTAATCAAACATTTAATTAGTTAATCACAAATAACAGTATAGTAACAGTCGAGACATAAAAACTTTTCTACTTTTATATTTAAATAATCAACACAAGTAAATTTATTATCGAGTAACAGATATAAAATATATATAAAATTAACTTTAACGATTATATTATTATTTTTTTTCATTAATAATAAGTAATAACATGTAATTAAAGATGTGTAAAAAATAAATCAGCTGGTGATTAATATTTGTTTAAATGCACGCTTGTCGCACATTACATTTATAAAATTATAAATTTCTGATTAGTTATATTAATATTAATTAGAATATTATTAGAATTAATTAATCTTCGTCTTTAAAGCGACGGTAAATTGATTGGACATAAGTAAAAACACATTTCCAATCGGGTTTGCGCATTACAACCATGTCTTCAACGTCCAAAAGAGGTACTATTCCTGCTATTTCTCTATAAATAAATTAATTAATTTAGAAGATATTTTATGGTTTAAAAACATTTTGTTTATAATTACTTATGATAAAAAAAATTTCGATTAAATTATGATACTGAAATTTAAATGACATAAAACATTGTGTTATAATTTTTTTAGCAATGAAATAATTGTAAAAAAAATTAAAAAGAAAATTCTGTCTGTCAAAATTAAGAAAAAGTAACAAGCTTGCAGTCACTATGTGACTGCCGTTATTTGTGAACCATAAACAAAATTTTGCGGTATAAAATAATAACTTTTGTAAAATTGCACAGTACTGCGTTAACTATTGACGTTTTTAAAGATATAAGCTCATCCTGATGTTACATTCATCAAGAGCTTTAATTTGAGTACCCACATGCATTTTTGATATATTTTTCATATATACATACACATAATATATATAAATATATGAAAAATTGATGTGGGTACTCAAATGAAAGGTCTTGATGAGTATAACTTCGGGATGAGCTTATATCTTTAAAAATGTCAATAGTTTACAAGATACAAGGTCATTTCTTAATTATTGACATTTTTTAAGATATAAACTCATTTCGATGTCACACTCATCGAGACCTTTCATTTGAGTACCCACATGTATTTTTGATATATTTTTCATATATACATATACATAATATATATAAATATATGAAAAATTAGAATGTGGGTACTTAAATGAAAGAAGCTCATCCCGATGTCACACTCATCGAGACCTTTCATTTGAGTACCCACATGTATTTTTGATATATTTTTCATATATACATATACATAATATATATAAATATATGAAAAATTGATGTGGGTATTCAAATGAAAGCCCTTAATGTGTGTAACATCGGGATGAGCTTATATCTTTAAAAATGTCAATAGTTTATAAGATACAAGGTCATTTCTTAATTATTGACATTTTTTAAGATATAAACTCATTTCGATGTCACACTCATCGAGACCTTTCATTTGAATACCCACATGTATTTTTGATATATTTTTCATATATACATATATATAATATATAAAATATATGAAAAATTGATGTGGGTACTCAAATAAAAGGTCTTGATGATTGTAACATCAGGATGAGCTTATATCTTCAAAAATGTTAATAGTTTACAAGATACAAGACCATTTCTTAATTATGTACTTAGAAATAGAAGATTTTCAAATGTAATCTAAATACTTATCATAATAAATTGAATATTAGTGAGAATGATAAGAAATCTTGAAAAGGCGCAAATTTAAGTCAAGATCTTTGCAATGACACTAAATTTCATTAAAAAAAGAAAAAAAAACCCTTTTTTATGATATGACTATGGACAAAAAATTTTTCTAATTTTCTGTTTGAAGGACTTTTTTCAAAAATAAAAAAAATTGACAGCTGTCAGCTGATTTCAGTATCATACTAAAGTTAGTCGACGTTTTTAATTTTTTGATTTTTCTTCACCAATTAAATTAGAACAAAAAAATATTTTTTAAAAATTGCACTTACAGTGTTTCAAGTTTTCTACAAGTGACTTTTCTTAAAAATTTTTTTTGTACCAATTTTTTTAATAAAAAAAAATGTTTTTGATAAAAAAAAAATTTTTAGATGTCGGCTAACTTAATTTTAATTACTAAAATTATTTTAAAGACTTAAAAATACTTACTCAGCTTTTTCAAACGCCAGAGTAAAATTTTTCCGTCTATTTTCCGGCTTTAATTTATCGTAATCAAAAGCTTCTGGCTTGAAATGATGAAGAAGAGCACAAAAAGCCAGACCATTGTTCCAACTGGTAGAAAAATTGTCTATCTGAACATTCTGAAGCCAAAAAGTAAACAATAATATTTTTTCCCGCCATTTTCAAAATTAATTTAAAAAAACAACAAGTGCTGCCACTCGTGAAAAAACCAAAATTCACACCTCATATTCTTTAGTCTTCGCCCGGCACCAAGATAGCAATCGCTCCTTGATCTGGACCGCATTATTCTGAACGACCGGGTCAGTAAACTTAAATGTAAATTCTTTGGGCGTTCCTGGTGTCCTTGGTGTACTGAAACGACAATAATAAATGATTAAATATCAATCATCAATAAATAAATAAATAAATAAATAAAAAAAAACTAACCTTGGAGTACTGGAACTATTTTGACGATCAAGTTCACGGAACTTAGCAAACGGTGACATTGGTTTCTTATTAACTGAAAAAACATGCAAAGACTAATTAATTAATTTTGTAGGTTATTAACCGGTGCTCCATGCTGCTCGAAATTAAATCTAAAGCAACTAGATTCAATCTATAGAATTAATTATTGAACCCGGTAATATAAATTAATTATTTAATTAATTAATTAATAAGCCGAACAAAAATGAAAACTGTGTCTAAGAAATCTACGATCTCACCATGATCCAAGCGTTGATCAGAAGTCTTTAAGTGCTTGGTAATTAAAAACATTTCCTAAAATATTTAAGTAAGTCAAAAAATTAAATATTTATTAATAGTGATGAAATAAAGCCTGGCTTAAAAAAATTCTAATTAAATAGAATTATTTATTAATCTTTATTTTACAATAGGGACAAAATAAATAATTTGATATTATTAATCAGAATAATTATTAATTAATTAATATAAACTTTGAAAAAATAATAAAAGTTTATATATTTATAATCAATGGCGATTATCGCGCGTCGTTTCTTCAAAGAGACTGTCGAATGCCTTGTCGACATCAGTTGCATCGTCATAAATATGCGGCATGGTATGACTCCGTGCCAAAGTTAGGTTATTTTTTCTCGGCGAGAAGGATCTCCGCTTGCCACTTCCCGAAGAGCTTGACTCTCTTTTTTGGCCCTCAGACTTGTAGAAGTACCGCTGGACCTTTTCTTCCATCTTCTTCATGTTCCGATCAGCAGACTCCCCGTGGAAGTTCTTGGAACTGACGCGAGGTGGCTTGTGGGTCGGAACAGCAGGTGGCGGCACCTGGAGGTGGTTCTTGGACAGTGCCAGCTGGTGCCAGGACTCGGATTTAGAGAGGACAATCGATCTGTGCGGGCGAGTCGCGCAATTTACTAGATATTCATCGCTGGAGTCCACGGGGGTCGAATATTTTACTGGTAGAGATGGTACGTAAGGATTAATGGTTAGTTTTGGGCTTTGAGGCGTTGTTTTTGATGGACTCATGATGTTTATCTTCGGTGGAACGTAGATGGGGCGAATCACTAGAGGTTCTGGTCGCCGGGTTGATTTTTCTTCGAAGATGTTGATTTTTTCCAGGGTGTTGCGGCTTTCTATTAGTGGTTCTATTGATTCACGTCCATTTTGGGTAGGTTCTTCATTTATTGGGGATGTATTTTCGGTGTAATTTATTAAAGAGTACCTTGGGTTTTGGTTTAGGAGCTGATTTTGAAGTTTTGGTTGAAATTGAACCGGAATTTGTGGTTGGAATTGAGTTTGAGGTTGGAACTGATTTTGAGGTTGAGGTTGGAACTGAGGTTGAGGTTTGGGTTGGAACTGAATTAGAGGTTGAGGTTGCAACTGAACCTGCGGAGCTTGAATAGGTTTAATCAAAGAATCTGGTTCATATTGCAGCCTTCTAATCAAGCTTTGCTGAAGTAAATTATGCCTCTGAACATCATCACTTAAAACCGGTTGCCCAGAACCTTCTTGAAAACCAGATGGCGACACTGAAGCCGGTGATATTGGAGAATTTTCCACAGTAGCAATAGCGCTTGTATAACGCGTAACAATCCTATCATCAGAAATATCCTGATTAGCGATATTTTCGTCGTCCAAGAACGAATTCTCGGATTCATCATCAATAAACCGATTGCTGTAATTGGCATCAACCAAAAAATCAATATCTCGCGAAGTTGGCACTGGTTTAGGCGGTACATATATAGGATTTTCATTCTCGTAAAACGTTCTTGGCACAGATTGGTACTTAGGATTGTGTAGCTGCCGGGGACAACTTCGTATCAATGATTCATTTTCGACATCATTCAATTCGATTGGATAATTTGTTTGCACTGCAACACTCTGCTTTTGGATATCTTGACCCTGTACCTTTTTATCATCATTAATCACATTGTTATTAATATTAATCAAATGATTAGTGATATTGCCATTAGAATCGTAAACGCCAGAGTGTCTCTTAACGTTATCGTAAGACGAATTACGAAATCCATTGTTACGTATTTGATTTTGGCAATGATTCAAAGCAGTGTCTTTGATTATTTTTTCTGGTTTCACATTTACTTTGGTATTTGCTTTAGATTTGACCCTCGGTAACGGATCACCCAGCGTATCTTGCTGATCAAACATCTTCAATTTGGCTCGAAGCATTCCATTAGAAGCACAAGCCGGCAAATAATAAGACGGCGTAGGTTTTTCATCATTATTACAACTATTATTACAATTAATACTCTTATTATTAATCTTCTGGAACGGAGATGTCGCTGCGTGAGTAAATGTTCCATTCTTAGTTCCAAAATTGTTCTTTTGGGCAGATGGCTCTGGTTTGAGTCTCAATGAACCAACTATAACATGTTTGCTTTCTTCTCGAGATATAGAACTTCTTCTTGAAGAACCGTCAACAGAAGCTGGTGGTGAAGGCTTGTCAAACGCGGTTTTTATATTTGAAAACCTACTTTTCCAGTTTTTATCAGCAATCGAACTTGTTTGCCGGTAATTAAAACTCTTGAACGGTTGATTAAAACTATTACCATTACTGTAATTGTAAGTATTAACATTATTACTATAAAAATTGTTATTAATATTGTTATCATTATTATTACGATTAATAAGAGCCAAAAACTTGCGATCGTTTTCCGTTTTAGGTTCAAAAGAAGGAATCAAAACACTTCCTTGGTTCCAAGAGAGCCTATCCCCAATATCAATTGGCCTTCTCAATCCCGGACTGGAAGATTGCGATTTTTCCGCCTGAAGCTTCAAGTAATTAGGAATATCAATAGTATTAGCACGTTTAATCTTGAACTTCTTAGCGGTGAACTTATTACTTGCAACTTTGTTATTAATATTCAAAAAATTAACAGGTTCTTCTAACTTATCACCAATGTCACTTTCAGAAGCTGGCACATCATTGTCCTTTCTGTTTTGCAACTGCTGCTGATTAATCTTGTCCTTGATGTGCTTGTCGCACATCTTTTCACTGCTTTCTCTCTCGACTTTTGCATTTTCTTTGCCTGGTTCTGTAAATTGCGGAGCAAGAGAGAGTCTTTGAGAAGTTAGGCTCACTCCGGTGCCTTTTTCTTCAAGCCAACGCCTGGCTCGGGCTAGTTCTTCACTGCTGACACCAATTGTGTGCCTGTCCTTGCCCCTGAACCTTTTTTTGACCGCTGGCGCAGCAGGAACTGGAGGAACTGGAGGAACAGCGACTGGTTCTTCATCAGAAGATAATTTGGCGAGTTTTAAATTGGAAACTAAGTTGGAAATCAACTGCAGGAGCCGTAACTTGTCGTTGGACTCCAGGGTGGCACTGTATCTGGTCAGAGCGTCGACGTCCACGCGCTTTAAGGTGTCCTGGAGCCTCACCAGGGCGGTTTTTATGTCCGAGACCAGGAGATCTCCGAATAAATTGAAATCCATGGATGATAATGGTGTTGCTGATGAATCCTGGGAATTATGGAGCGGATCTGGTGCCAGTGGCTCGTCCGCGAGACTCCGCTTAGTACTGGCCGATGTCAGCTCGAGTGCCGAGCGCAAATGCTCAACTAATACGGGCAATATATTCCTGCACTCACCGGCAACTGTTTTTCCAACTTCGTCCTTCTTTGGATGTGTCGACAGATCTCCCGTCTCGTCTTGTGTCGTCGTGGTCGATGTTGTTGTTGTTGTTGCTGTCCCACTGGTTGTCGTCCCAGTTCTAGTTCCAGTTATAGTGCCTGTTAAGTCCAGAGTCCGAGAAATCTCCTCATTCAGGCTCCTCATCGTCTCTGAAAGAACGTCACCAACATCAGCCCGGTGTTGTGGCTCTAGGTTATTATTTTTTCATCGAGCCGACGAACCTGCTGACAATTGCGGAGAGCTGCTTTCATTTTCCGGCCCTGGAGATGATAATTTGTCTGAGGTGCCTAGACTTCCATCCGAGATCTTGTCTGCTACCTCCGAGTCGATGGATTTGTCTGAAACAGTTTTTTTTTTCGTTTGCCCTCTTATCCATCTGCTGAATTTTTTTTTTTTTTATTAGTAGTTTTTTTTTGTTTTTGGTGAGTATGATTTATATTTTTATTAATATTATATTAAGTTGATATATAAGTGATGAAATTTATAAATTTAATTTTTAGACTAAAAAAAAATTTTTTTGGTGATAAGTTAAATTGTGGGGCATTCCATGCGAAATAGGAAAATGACTTAAATTTTTAAAATTTCTCTAATTTATTCTAATTTAGTAGTAATTTATAATAATTAAATCATCTACTAGAACCAAAGAAGAACATTGAAGAATGTCTAAGCAATATTAAAAAATTTCCAAAAGTAAAAAGATTCCTAGAAATTACCAAAAATATATATCTATATGTAATAATGTAAGGCGGTCACTAATGACCAAATGGTTGAAGTGACCTAAAGTATTAAAAAAAAAAAAAAATCATCTACTACTTTAAAAATTTAATTTAAAAAAATTTTTCTAATTTAGTCCTAATTTATTAAAAGTTTATATTTTACCAATTTGTAAAAAAAAATTTTTTTCAATAAGAAAATCGAATACTCTCCTAGTAACTTTTTAGCGGTAACTTGTATCCAGATCAAATGTTGTTTTAATAATTTTAACAAATTTATTTTATGTTTGTTATTAACTAACATATTTATTATAATTGATGGAATATGCCCTTTGTAAAATGTTTTTTTTTAGTCTGAAAATTAAATTAAAAAACCCTAAAAATAAAAATACCCTTATTAGTTTTCTTTAGATTGATAAAAAAAAATTATTAATGATGAATTATTTTTATTACAGGTATGAAAAAAAATCGGAAATGACCTCTGAGTAAATTGAGCAGTGAAACTGACCTTGAATATCCGACATGACGAAGTAAATAATTACCCGAGGAAAATTGGCTGCAATAAAATATATTTTTTTTCATAATAACAATGCTAAACGTTTTAATATTTATATTTCTTATTTATATCTGCAAAGTATTAACGGCATAGTAAGCAAAAAGCGTGTATTAAATTATTTATACAAAAGTACAAAGAGTAAGTTTTTAAATAGTATTAAATAAAGTAAATATAAATTACGCGTTAGTTTTGGAAAAGCCAAAGACGCGAGGTCGTATTCTATTAATAATATTGCGCATTATATAGGAGACGCAAAAGAAGAACAAGAACCAAGACGAAATCTACGAAATTAAGAAAACGAAGAAAGCATATCGTGCCCATTTTTATAAAATTAATATATTTACAAGTGGTAAATATAGTTACACATATATGTACATATTTATGTGAGTAAGTATAAATAAAAATAAAGATTTGAAATAGAAATATAAAAATAAAAATAAATAGAAATAACAGAAAGCAGTAATAGCTATAAACGCGTAACTCTTAGCGCGTCGCCTTTTACGGTCCGGCGAATAAACCACTAGATTTAGTTAGGGTAGTGGGAAGAAGCAATAACCACTTTTTAATTAGAACTTAATCCTTATTTGACAAAGCTTAGCTGCAGAAAAAAATTTAAAAAAAAAAAAATGATTAGCTGTTAATTAAATAAAAAATGAATGGTTAGATTTAGATTTAATAATTGTTAATAATTTGATTTACCAATTTGATTTTAGGATCCAAGAGGAGCAGCGCTGTTGGAAGTATCTAACCGACTGGCCAAAGTTTGTCCGGATGGGAGCTCACACGCTTCCTTACACACGGTGCTTTATACTAAAACACAAAACTAAACGTATGCCATCAGAGAACGAATTTAGATTTACTAAAATAGCACCCACTGCAACAGTGTGCCGGCTTCTCTCGAGCAAGACATCAAGACGACTACACTGATACTGATACTAGCAGAAGCTGTGAGCTTTTTCCTGGCCCATCATCTGGGAAATAGACCAATGACCGGCTCAACTAGAGTAATCGCTTCCTTGGCTCTACCCACGTGCTGGAAAATTTGATCCAAATTTTAATCATTTTTTGCTATTTTCAGGTCGGCTTGTCTTCGTTTATTTCTTCCTCTGTTATTTATTTTATTTTTATTATTATAAGAGTATTTATGCTGGAAAGCGAGGAACAAGTGGGTAAATGACCTAGAGGGCGAGCTAACAAAAGAAAAATTAATAGCAATGTTAAAAGGTGACTAGATGTAAAGAGAATAGTTGCAATATAGGATGTCAGAAAAATCCTGACATCAAATATACAATTATAGATACATTATAAATATGAAAAGGTATAAAAATTATTGCAAATAATTAACCATGCGGCTATTTGAGGCATATTAAATAATTTATTAATTATTTATTTATTTATTCATTTAACGTACAATTTTTTGGAGTATTTCCTTGATGTAAGGTACAATTGACTAGGTATATAGAATCATTATATGTTTACAAACTTATTAAGATATATTAAAAGATTTGCGCAGTTTCACACTTTTAATTTATATAATTTGGAGAAACAAAACACTTAAAGCATTATAAAGTAAGGTAAAAGACCCAGTTAGTGACACTGGCCCAGTTATTGACACTTGCAATTTTATTTAAATTAAAAAAAAAAAAACAAATAAATAAATAAATATAATTTTTGAATTATAAATTTTAAGAAAATTGCTTTTTTGAGAAGATTTAATTTTTTAATTAAAATAAAATTGCAAGTGTCAAACAATCCGAAAAAATTACCCATGTCAAAATTTCTCAGCAAAAATTTTTCCGACAACAATATCTCAAATCAAAATTTATCACAACATAAATTAATCTGACGACAATTAATCATCATTTAAGACAAATGATCCGTGATTCATCTTCTAATAGGCACCGTGTTGTGCCCTTTTATTTGAAATAAGTAAATATTTATTTAATATCAATTAAATATTTAATTATAACATTATGAGACATTTTTGAATATAAGTATTAAAAATAATAAAAATTTTAATATAAACAAAATAATATAATTAATAATCTAAATTATGAACAATGAGACGTTTTGATATGAGAACATATACTCGAAGATATTTTTGCCATGAGAAAATATTATTAGGATAAAATACTGCATAAGAAATTCTTGATTCGAGAATTTTTTTTTTTAATCAAGTTAAATTTTTTATCAGTGTAGGTAATTTTATTGCATGAGAAATAAAAGATGGTCACCAAAAGTAACGCTATTGGGAAGTTATTGTTTTATATGCTAAGGTAAAAGACCCAGTTATTGACACACTGGCTTAGTTGTTTGAAACTTGCAATTTTATTCTAATTAAAAAAATTAAATCTTCTCAAAAAACCAACTTTCTTAAAATTTATAATTCAAAAATTGAGGAGCTGAGTTTCAAAAGGGTATCTTTTCATTTTTGATTAATCGAGATAAAAAACTAGTTATCTTCAATTATAAATATTTGTATTGAACTTTTTTCAATTTAGCTATAAAGTGCTATCGGTTATGAAGCTGCAATTCGATTTTCATTTATAAATCTTTATAATTTTCGAAGTAATTAATATTTAAAAGTTCAGAAAACTGGTATTTTAAAATATGAAAAGATATCCTTTTGAAAATCAGCTTCTCAATTATGTTTATTAATTTATTAGAGTTAATTTGTTTTTTTTTTTAATTGAAATAAAATTACAAGTGTAAATAATAAAAATACAGTTTTGTAAAACAAACTCTGTAATACAATTAAAAACGCTATTCTATTTTACTATGTATGCTGGAGAAGGTTATAGAGATAATTCCGAAGACGTCATCACGATTGTGAAAAAATTACAACAGAATAGAGCAGACATCGATGATTAACGATGATTAGGCATACAGAGGCGAGCTACCAGGATGTTGTAAAAACAATGTTGAATAAAGATCGTGAATGCATAAAGGATATGCCTCGATAACTACATCTCCCACTAAGCGTAGCTCTCCCTTCTACTTGTTATGCCTATTGCCTTACGTTGGAGGCCACTTTCAACTGGATACCTGTTAACCTACTTGGGTCAGTCTTTGAGCCACTTTGCAAGCGGTACATTGTCATCATCTGTTACTTTACACTTTTAATATAATTTTTGACTCAGTATTTATATTTTTTTTTTTTTTTCTTAGGTGGGGACAAATGGTATCAATTATGCCTGAAATAATCAAGAATTTTTCTGGTTAATTATTTTAAAGAGATTTCTTCTTAAAAAAAGAAGAAAAAATTGTTTCAGAAGCTATTGTTAAACGTTTGTTTAAAAGTTACGTGAAAGTAATGTTGTCCGTGTCTACGTGCTTAGTGACATCAGTACATGTGTGATATTCAGACGTGAGCATGAGTTCAAGGAACCTTATATACTCATGCATTCAAATTACTGTTAATAAATTTATTGCCAGAGGAATTTATTTTTGAATTATATACCCACGTGGATTGTAAGTAGTTAGGTGACTAGGATAGAATTCCCGGTTTGATAAAAATATATTAACCGGCAATTTTTTTTTTATTTCTTCTTTTATCACACTGAAGTTTTACTACAAGTAAAATATTTCTAAATAATTGCACTTATAGTTTTTTAAGTTTTTTTATCTTATGTGAAATTTTTTTTTTTTTTTTTTAATAAAAATATTTTGAAATGTCGGCTAACTTGATTTTCTTCTTTTAGTGTTTTTATATATGAAAATTAAATTAGCTGACATTTAAAAATTTTTATAATTTATTTTTTTTAATAATAATTTTTAAAAAATTAAAACAAAAATTTTTACATGTAGAAAATGTAAAAAATTATACTTGGAATTTTTTTTAATATAATTTTTTAGTTTTAATTTTTAATTAATAAAAAAAATGAAAAATTGTTGAGTGACATCTAAAAATTTTAAGAATTTTTTTTTTTTTAATTGTATTTGTGAGAAACTTAAAAAACTGTAAATGCAATTTTTAAAAAACATTTTTTTGTTGTAATTTAATTATTGAAAAAAAAATTAAAAATGTCGGCTAATTTTTTATATATTCTTCTGACAGTTTTTAAAAATTACATGTAGAATTGTTTTTTTAATTTTTTAAATAAAAATAAAAAATTATCAGATTTATTATTAATATAAAATATTTTTTATTTCAGTCAAAATGAAGGGATGGTTTGATGCATTCCGTAATGATGGTGGCCCAACACTATACAGTTACAGTAATCGAACTCCAGTTACCGGAGACGTGCATTTAATAACAATATTTGTTATTTTCGTAACAATATTCGCAGCATTCCTGATTATCTTCCCGGGGATTCGCAAAGAAGTAAATTTTATATGAAAATTAAGTTAGTTTTTTTCATTGGAAAAATTATTACAAAAAAATAAAAAAAAAATTTCATTTGTAAAAAACTTGAAATACTTCAAGTGGAATTTTTTAAAAATATTTATTTGTTCTAATTTAATTATTGAAAAAAAATCAAAGAACTAAAAATGTCGGCTACGTTTGGTATTATAAATTTTATAATAACACTAAAGTTAGCTGACGTTTTTGATTTATTCGTTCTGAAAGAATATTTTTTTTTTATTTTATTTTTAATGTTATTTTTTTTTTTTTATTTAAATATTACTTTTGCAATTTCCTATTCTTTTTTAGATAAACAAATTTTTCGATCGTAAAGCACTCTCTGATGCTTCGCATCATGAGTCGTGCAAAAACTAAATTTGATCATAAATAAATAAATAAATAATGACCACTACGGGTTAAAATGAAATTTAATTTTTCTTTTTTTCTAATAAAAAAAAATTCTCAAAATTTTTAGATGACGGCTAACTTAATTTTCATAATTTTATCTTTAAATTATATAAAAAAAAATCTATTAATGTATTTAGATAGATTGCAAATTAATAATAAAATTTTTACAGAGAATAACGACATTTCTGACGGTAACTCTCAGCCTCTTCGTTGGAACAAGTATCCAAGGTCAGTATAAAAAGTAATAAAATAAAGAGCGTACCTAATAATCATAATATAATAATAAAACATTTAAAAAGTAAATATATAAACAAAAATTCACCTTATAAAGATAAATATTTATATTTTTTATTTCGTGGATGATAATTGCGTAATAAATGATTTCTATTCAAGTCCCGTATGTTCCGTTATAGTTGCGCAATATGGCTCCACCTGGCACACGACCTCGTCCTCGATCCTCAGCAGCTACAGCGTCTTCTCCAGGTACCGGACGCCAGCCGAAATAGGAGGGTACATTGGACTCATGCATATTAATATAACTTATAGTTGTGGGTGCTCGCTATTTGCTATTTAATTAATTTAGTTAATTAAATTAATCAATCAGGCTGTTAACAGCCTGATTTAATAATTGATGGGTTTAATTAATGGCTCATTGTTTGTTTTAATTAGTGACTAATTACACGGACACCGATATAATCGGTGACGTCGAGTACAATGAAAGGTTTTGGTGGAGAAGTCCCACAGAAATGAGTGAGTCATTCCGCGAGGCTCTTTATCGTGGAACGCCTTTTCCAATCATTTCGCTGGCTGAGTACTTTAGCCTTCATCAAGAAGGATTTTCCTGGGGCGCTAAGTACCGGGAAGCTGGGCATTATGCCTCGATTATGCTGTGGTAAGTCATTTTAATTAAGAAAATTTAATAAGGGAAATTTTGTCTGATATTTATATGATAGAATGAGTTTTTTAAATTAAATTTAGGATCATTGGAAAGAAGATCTGAATTTGTGCCTTTTAAATGTTTCATTTTCTTTTCTAAAATTGTTAATTTATTATGATAAGTTTTCCAAGTAGTTATAAATAGATTAGAATTTCGCGATAAACAAAATTGATTTATTTATTTTGTTTTGCACAAGTCAATGTGGTTGTATGTCAAAAATTAATTTATATAATTAAGAGACTAAGAAAAATTTTTAACGGGTATATCTTTATCGTAAATTGGGTTTGATATTTTTTCAGCGATAGTCATTTATGATTTAAATAATTGAGAGAGTAAGGAAAATTTTGTGACGAGCGTATTATTATTTTTAAAGGAATTTTTATAGTTTAATTTGGTATCATCAGAAAGGTCGAGATAAGAATTAGTGCCTTTTGGTTTTATATATTTTTTAGTAGTCAATTTTTTATGTCAAGTTTTTGGAGGAGTTTTTAATAGTTTGTTGGTTCTATAAATTTGTTCCGTCACATTTGTCCATTAAATTATTAGTAATTGATCCTGTGATAGCACTATTATTTTTAAAATTTATTTAAAAAATACCCGAACTATGTACAGTGTCATAAATATCAAAAAATCATTAAGCCAAAATTTTCTTATTGATAATCCGTAAATCTCGGAAGTCAAATAGTGACTGCAGGTTGCTAGTTATATGACACTGAAGTTGATAGACATTAGAAATTTTTTTAGAATTTTATAACTGAAGTTATGAAAAAAATTAATGATAGTTATGATTTTAATTATATCGTTAATACGGCGTTAAGAACTCTCGGTTTTGTTATAAGATGTACAAAGAATTTTAAAAGTATTAAAGCTATTAAGACTTTGTACATCGCCCTTGTACGTCCTAAATTGGAATACGCTTTCATAGTATGGTCCCCAACGTATAAAAAACACATACTTGAGATTGAGAAAGTCCAAAGAAAATTTCTGAAATACTTATCTTTTAAAGTTACTGGTACATACCCTGCGTTGGGTAACAACTATATACAGTTATGCAATGATGCTGGTGTGTTGACCCTGGAGGAGAGGAGAGCTTGCTCATCTATATTATTTGTAAAAAAGTTGCTTACAGGTTTAGTAGACTGTCCTAGATTATTGCAGCAGGTACCAATATTGATACCGTCGTGTAATTTAAGAACAACAGATTTATTTTATTTACCCACAGTCAAGTCAACCCAAAATAAATTTTTAATAACAGCACAGGAATTAATAAATCAGATTACATTTTAATGAATATATTATGTTAATTTAACAATATTTATTTATGTGTCTCTCTTGTGTAAAACTCAATGTAATTAAAATTATTATTAGTGGCCCTGTTAATGGCAATTGCTGTTGGGCCTAAATGTAAATAAATAAATAAATAGTGAAATTGAGAGACATCTGATAAGTTTTAAAAATTTTTTAACTAATAAATTATGGCAAGAAAAATTTATTTAAAAAATTCTAAGTGCAATTTTTTAAAAATAATTTTCTAGACCTAGTTTAGTGTTTAAAAAAAGTACCCAAACTATGTATAGTGTCATAAATATCAAAAAATCATTAAGCCAAAATTTTCTTATTCTTAATTCGTAAATTTTGAATCACCTAGTAAGCTACTTTAATTATTAATAATTAAAAAATTTTCAGGACTTGTTTTGCAGCCTGGTCATTAATGAACCTCCTACTGGTTGTGGTCCCAAGATACGGAGCCTATAGCATGATATTCACCGGTATACTCATGCTGTTTACCAATTTAATTTACTGGTCACTGCTGCCCTGTGAGCCGTTAATTGCTCACGTAGATGGCTCGGTTCTTGTCTTCAGTTTCGGGTGGAATTATTGGCTTGTCCTTGTCGCTGGTAATTTATTTTTATATCTACATTGTGATTTATTATTATTAAAGAATTTCGTAGCTTATAAATTTATTCGTTCAAGGATCAAGCTGTTTGCTCAGTGGAATTATTATAACAATAATTGACCTGATTTTCCCTCATCAATTTTCGACGATCCTTGAAGTTGATTATGACACGCCTTATGACAGGCATGTTATTATTGAGGAGAGCTTTGATACGAGAAATATACCACAGAAATTTCCAAGAGTTAAAGAAAATCTTTATGATCAAAGAAGTTCCAGGTAAATTTTTTTTTATTTACTTATTAATTAATTTATTTATTAATACCTACATTTCTTCTTTTTGTCGTCATTGTTCTGACGAAATTATTAAGTGGCGCTCTCTACTTTTCAATAAATCTTATAACTATAAATATTACAACTCATAACTTCACTACAGTTTTATTTATTAGTTATAAATTAATAAATTGAATTACTTATTATGAAAAGAAGACTATAGTTATAATTTCGCTAATTTAAATATTTATAAAAAACTTAATTACATTTTTTATAAATTAAATATTAAATATGACTAGCAACTATAAATTAACAAAATTTTGCTTTAGTAAATAATGAATTTTGTTAAATTGCACTGTGCTTTCTTAATTATTGACATTTTTAAAGATATAAGCTCATCCTGATGTTACACTCATTAAGAGCTTTCATTTGAGTACCCACATGCATTTTTGATAAATTTTTCATATATACATATATATAATATATATTTTAAAGATATAAGCTCGTCCTGATGTTACACTCATTAAGAGCTTTCATTTGAGTACCCACATGCATTTTTGATATATTTTTCATATATACATATATATGATATATATAAATATATAAATATATGAAAAATTGATGTGGGTACTCAAATGAAAGGTCTTGATGAATGTAATATAAGGATGAGCTTATATCTTTAAAAATGTAAATAATTCACAAGATACAAGATCATTTCTTATGTATCTAGAAATTCATTTTGATATATTTTTCATATATATATATAACATATATTTTAAAGATATAAGCTCATTCCGATGTTACACTCATCAAAAGCTTTCATTAGAGTACCTACATGCATATTTGATATATTTTTCATATATACATATATATAATATATATAAATATATGAAATATATAAAAAATTGATGTGGGTACTCAAATGAAAGGTCTTGATGAATGTAACATCGGGGTGAGGTTATATCTTTAAAAATATCAATAATTCACAAGATACAAGGTCATTTTTTAATTATGTATCTAGAGATAGAGAATTTTCAAATGCAACCTAAATACTTATCATAATATATTGAAATAAATAAATTTTGAGGTGAGATTAATTATTCAAAATGGTAGATTAGTCGAAGTTATTTACAAACTTAACTGTTTATTAATATTTAGTAATTGAAGCTATCTTACGAAATTATAACTACGTTTTACTTCGTGATTTAATTTATATTTTACATATTGTAATTTACGATAAAAAATTTCAATATTGAAAAGTAGAGAGTACCATTAAATGTCCTTGAAATTTTTCATAACTTTGAATAAAATTGAAGAAAAAAAAAATAATTATTTAAAAAAATTAAAATACTTCTTTTTTTTTAACAAAAAAAAAAAAAAATTAAACCAGAGCAAATAAAATAATTAATAATATAAATTATTCAAGTCAATTACCATCCAAGGGAAGTGATAAAAAACTCCACGAAGGGATAGTTAACCGTGGATATATATCTCACGAGTCCTCGTCAGACTTACATCGTGATAGTGATGAATCAAACAAGGCCAACTGGTCATACCCATTTCCACCAATCTCACGGAGAATAAATTGAATGCTCAACAAAGTATTTCATAGTCAATTTTTTAGCGCAAATAAATTTAATTAGATAATTAATAATAATAATTTTTATTTAAATCTAGTATTAGTACCATTAATAATAAAAATAAAAAAAAATAAATCTAGCGATCATAAATTATTTATTTAATTAATTAATTAAAAATTATTTACAAATTGACAAACTATAATTGAAATATTAAGGCCTATATTAACCCAACTATTATCCAAAATTTTCAAAATGATGGATAAAATAGGGCAACTTGCGGCCTTTATTAACTTGATCGCAAGCGGACATCACGCTTTTGGTCAATGGACGCGGCCCGCAGCTAAATACCCCAATTTTGCTGACATAACTGTGTTTTTTCTGGACGAATTTAAGGAATGACGTCATGTCAGGCCGCCCAAAATGATTTATCGCTTTTAGTCCGGTGAAAATACTCTTTTTTGACAGCCTTTGAAAGTGATTCTCGCATATGTACTACAGGAAAAAAGAGAAAATTCATGTTTATCAATGAGAGGCTTTTACTTTACATTAAGTATTATTATTATTTATTCCTACAACCGTGCAGTCACTATGTGACTGCTGTGACTTGTGAACTATGAATAAATAAAATTTTGCTTTATTAAATAATGAATTTTGATAAATTGCACTGTAATTTTTTAACTATTGACATTTTCAAAGATATAAGCTCATCCTGATGTTACACTCGTCAAGAGCTTTCATTTAAGTACCCACATGCATTTTTGATATATTTATCATATATACATATATATAACATATATTTTAAAGATATAAGCTCATCCCGATGTTACACTCATCGAGACCTTTCATTTGAGTACCCACATGCATTTTTGATATATTTTTCATATATAGATATATATGATATATATAAATATATGAAAAATTGATGTGGGTACTCAAATGAAAGGTCTTGATGAGTGTAACGTCGGGATGAGCTTATATTTTTAAAAATTTCAATTGTTCACAAGATACAAGGTCATTTCTTAATTATGTATCTAGAGATGTATATATATAATATATATAAGCTCATCCCGATGTTACACTCATCAAGAGCTTTCATTTGAGTACCCACATGCATTTTTGATATATTTTTCATATATACATATATATAATATATATAAAAATTGATATGGGTATTCAAATGAAAG